AGTTTAATATGGAGACCTGGGACAGCCTTCATGGGGTCCTCCAGCCTACCCCTCGGTCTGCCTCTCAGCATGTGGCTAGACTGCACTCAGTCCCTTAGCTGGCTCTACCCCTCCACAACCTTACACAGGCTGTCATCTCCCCTCCAACATTCCCTCTCACCTCTGCGACCTCCCCCAGCTCCTTAACTCCTACTGATGCTGCAGGTCCCGGCTTAGATTCCACTTGTTCCATGAAATCTTGACCTACTACATCCAGGTGAGGTGCCCTTCCCAAACGTTCTCTTCACACTCTGTTCTATCTCCAATTATGATACGGCCTGTTTCCCGGCCTGCTCCACTGACCGAGAGCTCCAGGAGACATATCATGTCTCTGTATCCTCTTTATTCAAAGAACCTAGAACAATGTCTAACATGTAGTAAACATCTGTTTATATCTACACATGTACATATACATATGTGTGTGTGTTTCTATCTACATACATACATACATACGAAAAATCCCATCTAGCAAGCCTTTCTTTTGGCTGCGCCTCTTTACTTCACTATTCAGGTGGATAAAATGCTACTTAATTTTCTTAATTTGAAAGACAATCGATTTTATTTCTCTGGCACTTCTGAAGCCCTGACCTCTACTTAAGACACTTTAAAAAATAATAAAATTTCAGATCAAAACCATGAGGTAGAGATATGAATACCCTCACATTCACAAGTAATCCAAGGCACAGAAATTGAATTCAAATTCGACTCCGGAGCTTGCACTGTTAACCACAATGTTATCAACTTGGAAACCTGTATGTCCACTCTGTCATAACAATTCTGAGAATTTACAGGGCCCGCACGTGGCAGAGGGGTTGGGGCACTGGACCCCCATGCAGCTGACCACAACTTGAGTCTTGGACCTGGCAGCTTCAAACTCCTGCCAGGCGCATGTGCGTGCATGTCCAAAATCCTGAGAGGAGAATGGAGAAGGGACTGCAGCATGGCCATCCTCTCTGGGGGTGATGTCTCTCTCTCTCTCTCTCTCTCACACTCTCTCTCTCTCCAGTGAGCACATGCAGCTTATGGCAAATAAAATCTCTCAAAATAACAATAATTCTGGAAATTAAAATTCAGACTCTGCTCTTCGGTTTCTATTAAGACCACATCTGCACAAGTATCTAAGGATCTTTGTGTAGGTCAAAAAACAGCCATGGTTTTTCATCTTTCACGTCGCCTCCTGAGACTGCAGAGCTGTGTGGAGTTGCAGCGACAGTGATATATCAACAGCTCCACGGGGCACAGCGCAGGGCCTAATGCCAGACGTCTGGAATGACTCATCTTAGGTAACTGCTGATTCCATACTTAAATATCCTAAATCTGTAACTCACTATACTATCAGACAGCTACCTACTTGTACTGGTTATCATAATATGCCCCTTGGAATTTGTTGAGAATAATTTTTTTTTTAATTGCCAAGGGAAGTCTTTGTGTCTCCTGCAAAGCCAACGTTTGAAAATGTATTCAACAGGTGATTTAATGACCGCTGCATGAAGAAACCTCAGGGCAAATTCTTCTCATACTCTGTATTAATAAATCATTTTCTTTCTTTCTTTCTAGATCCTTCATAACTTGCCTCTTGCCTACCTTGCAGTCTTGCTTCTCAACACATACTAGCTTGACTGACCTTGATTCCTCAAATAAATATCTCCCCTTTACCAGACAATGGGAATGAAAGAAAAATTGTTTCACTTTCTGCCTTCCTTCAGAATTGAATATAATATTCCGTATTAGCTTAGCTTTTAGACACTATTTTTCCTCTTATGATTATAAGCTTTAATTTGTAATTTTTTAAAGAATTATTTATTTTTAATTTTATTTATTCATTAGCTTTAATTTATAGTTTAATTGGCTCAATTACACAAGTGTGCTAAATAATTTTGAAAGCATTAGGATACATATTATAAATGAATTCTTCACTTTGGAGTGGAACAAGGTTCAGGGCTGACCCTACTTTAGGCTGCTAATAAATATGTTATGAAAGTCAAGCTTTTTAAATGTCCATTGTATCATTTAATACTGTAAAGTCTATTTGTGAAGTCAATGGAAGCAGTACACAATATTTTGTTTTGGTTTACCTATATGTTTATTCGATTTGTTATCAGAATTCCTATCAGTAAAACTGATCACTTCTGGAATATCAGGATGAAGTCTCAAACTGTATCTGCAGGCAGAAAACTTTTAGAGAGAAAAAACACTGTTCCAATGGCTCTGTGGAAATATGTGAAACGTTAGGGCATGAAGTCCCAGAGTGATGAGCCAATAAACGAACTCCTTCACCCTTCCACAGTGCCAAAGGATCACTTCAGAATACAAGGCGAAGAGAGTAAATTGGCGGAAATGGACAGAAATGGTAGGAAAGCTCTAATAAGTGCCTTAATGGTTAGAGATCTCCCTGGACACTGAGCAAAACACTTGCTATAATTCATACACACAACTAGAAATAAGTGAATGTACAAAAGTATATATACTATTCAGTCTGCATTATTCAAAGTAAACATAATGTTCAATTAGCTTTTTCGGCAATATGAATTGAGTTCATGAAAAATTACACAAGTTAGCACCCTTGCCTCTTGAGTCTCATTCTAGACTTTCACAGAATTACTCAAACACTTCTACTACATGTTATCAAAAATTCCATAAACTACACAATTCTATAAAATATTTGTTTACAGAACTTAAATTACCTCTAATTTTTTTTAATTGCCAGAGGGTACATGCACTTACCAGAGTGAGACAGAGAAACAGGGAGAAAGAGAAGGAGAGGGAGAATACACCCCCCTCAATGGGGCATGGTCATTCCACAATACCTTCTCCTTCACTTCTCCATCTCATTGGGATTTGGGGCATGCACACATGCCTGGCATGTTTTTCAAGCCTCAAGCACTGGGATCCAAACTGCTATAGGGGATTCGGCTTCCCTTAACCATTAAGCTATGAGGCCAGCCCAAATCACCTCTAAAACTGAATGATGAAAAAAAAAGGACAAAATGACTTTAGAATTCAAATCAAGAAAGAATAAAATCTAGACTGTAAATGTAGCTGATTAAAAAATATACAGAAAATAGGAAACCTGATAAAACAAATTGGAAAGTTGTTCAAATGGAAATACGAGGAGGAAAAATCAAAGCATAAAGAAAAGATTCTAAATTGAAATGGATAAAGAAAACATTTGTTATCTCATTTACTTTAAGGTGGCATTTAGATTACCTTAAACAAACAATTTAAAAGACATAAGAGACTCAAATCTTTC